TCGATCTTCTGCAACCTAGCTACTTCAATGAATTGTAGCCTAACCAATGAATGTATTATTTTATCACCGATACTGTGAACTTTATTCGTTATACTCTTCAGGTCTACCTCAAACAATGACATAAACACATCAAAATAAGTTCAGTCAAATTTATTAATCGTGTTAACTTAGTCTTGAAATGTTGAAACACGGGAGATTTTTTAGAATATCGATTTTCATATCTAAATTCAACACACCTCGAACCTTCGCTCGTCAGATCCTCCCCTTCAACAGCAGCACTCTGCAAACTTGTCTGCAAAATATAACTAAAGATAATAACGAAAATTATAAGGATTGATTTTGTGTCGCTCTATCATAATAAAGCTCATCAAATGAAACTAATGTAAATACAACTAAATCATATACCTCTGCAACTTCGTTTATCGTCCTCTCTAATGCATCTTCCACAGCTCCACTACTGTCACATTTGCTATCTTCATGTTCTTTGTCAATTACTTCTATTTGATTACTGTCTAAAAATCTTTTCTTAAAATTCCGACCCTCCGTTGAGAGCTCTTCATTGATCACCACTCGATTGTCAGTATTTCCTTCGCTACCTTGTTCGATTCTTACCACTGCAGCTACTTTGTTTTCATTGTAAAGCATTTCCATCCTTACTTCCGATCGCGTTACTCCTTCCTAAAATATTTATGCAATTCAAATTACTCGAATAAGTATTTACAATACAAATAGGCAAGAATTACAAACCGTTATTTATCGAAGTTTTCGTAACCTGTTTAGCGCGAAAAAAGTAGTGCGGAAAACCTATCACAAATGAGTATGTTCCAGACACTATCTATCACAAATAAGTATCCAGGCAAAAAAAATTCTTTAATAAATGGAAGAACCATTTCTTAAAAGATAATTTTTTACTGACGCTAGTATATCCATTTTCACTTCAAATTAACTAACTAATAAGTGAATGCTCGATCCGTAATATGTAAAGAAATAAAATTTTGGAACTAGAAACTACGGAAATACTTTAAAAAATATCTAAACATTAAAAACATCTTTATGAAGCTGAAGTTTTCCGATAAAATAGCAAAAGCAGGGAATATTTCTGCAAATATTATTTAAACTGCACCATAAAACAGCAAATCATCAAAACAACATTCATATCTTCCGCATTTATTAATAAGTTTACACACACAATTTCAATAAAGAAAAAACAAAGGCAGCAAATGCAGCAATTCCCAACAAACTATACAGATGGATTAATTTCCAATGAACAGCTCGTTTCGGGGACTTTTGAAATCAGTCTTTTCATTCTCGATAAAATGATAGTATTATCACAAAAACAATCGTCTGCAGTAAAAGGTGCGACGATTCGTACAGCATCAAATACAGTAATTGATCCGTCATTATTGCTTTTCACTCGAATTTGGTTCTGTTCCAACCATTCAATCAATCTTTTTCGTCTAAAAATTGGTGTATACATCAGGTGATCGAATTTCCCTTAGATCGAGTAGTTAAGTGCACAGACAAGAAATTACATGGACTGAATCAAATATTTGATGGCTGAAAATTTTCAGAAAGTATGCGTCATTTTTCATCACCAACGTTACTGTACAACACATCTTCCCAAATAATTAAAGGAAAGACAAATCCTCAAAATACAAGAAATAAAAATGCAAGAGATTAGTTGGGACAAAGAAGACTGAATATAATTAAAGAGGCTGATGAAACCAATTTAAAGCATTATAAAAGACTGGATGATGAAAGGAATTGCACTGAACTTCGAAATCTATAAAAAAAAACCTTTCCGCAACTTGTTGTTTGGATGATTGCGGTGCACCTCTCAACAACTTTCCAAGCCAACATTCCAGTTCCGGCGTTTTTTTAATGCATCCATCCGGTAAATGGTCATCATCCAATTTTCTCAAATGTTTTATCGAAGCACCAGGAACAACTCTTACTGTCTTTGGTTCTTAAATATACAACATTATGCGCAAAATAATCTACAAATAACTACAACCTGTTTCATTTCACAATTAAATCTACCACATTTCCTATAGATATTACGAAAGATATTCGGTATAAGAATTCATTCATCAGTAGCATTAACTTAATCAAAATTAAGCAACCAACATTAAAGGCCATACCTGCGTTACATGCGAAAGCAATAATTACAACTGAGTGAGTGATAGGATCAAACGTGAATATATTCCCACACACAGTTTTATTATTGACCAAATCGACAGCTACCGGTTGACCACATAAAAGGTACATTGCGGACACAGATAAATTCAATACTGATGATGTACACGCTTCTTCCATATTATCATGGTTCATTTCCCGTAAGTGAATTGAAATGTGTGTTAAACGACTGGAAAGAGAATCACGTCGAAATTTCGTAAACTTGATTATTGTATCACTATTAACTTTGTATGTATATTTACAATACATGAATCAAGAAAAGCATAATCAAATTGTTTGGTCATAACCACTATATTCAGAAAATAATCAAATTTCAATGAAAACTAAATGATGCAATAATGTAAGCCAAGATATCTGACTTAAGTTCCACAGTTTTAGAAAAAAGTAAAACACGTCATAAAACGTATTAAAATCACTTGGAAAGAAAGAAATTTTAGAACAGCTGTGACATCTATGAAACACTAGATAATATAAAGCAATAAAGAAAAATTAATTGCGATGAAAATACTGAGACAGTAAAAATATACACTGCAAATCTTCAACGAAAACTCCAAAAAACATACTTCCCAGAACTTTGTTCGACCTATCAAAGCTTGTTATGGCCCAATCAATTAACATATTCCAATTAATTAATTCGTTTTTCTTTTCGCTAGACTTAGACAACAAATTGAGATTGTAAACAACTATCCAGTAGCAATCAGTGCGTAACCGCTGCAAACCTTTTCCATTCAATCAATTTCAGAATAAAAACTGCATTTTCACATTACAGGAACTAATAATGAAAAACATGAAAACTAGAAATGGAATACTTAAAATGCCCACTTGAAGACAACGACGACAACATGTGATGGGACAACACGGGAAGAACTAGACGCTACGAAATTGTTCATCCCTCTTCCACTTTACCAAAACGCAGACCAATCGCTGCATGACAATGATGATTTTTTGAATATTTCTGGTGAGACCAGTATGAAAACCCTCTGTTTCGAGTACGACAATTGGTACATGGGATTATATTTGGCAAAGAATTGAAGTGGTAAAATAGTAGTATTAATAATTAGCATAAAGTTCAAATATTAGTATTTTGTTAGAAAATTCGATTATTTATGATTGACTGTGTGAATATTCCATTTTGTTGCAGAACTTATTAACTAAATAATCTTTGTGTTAACATTGTATTTGAGAAGAAATTAGCATAAGTGGGAAAATAGTACTGATAATCAGCATAACTTATGTTACTATAATATATTATATTTTCTTTTTCACATCACCAGTATTTTAACATTGATAATAGCACGATAATATCTAATTAATTATATTATCTACAATGCATTAGTGTTTTTTTTTTCCAAATATCTTTTCAATGCTTAATTATAATATTACTTGGATTAAATTTTTGCAATGTTTACGAAATTTTCGTTTCTTTTGTTTTTATAAAAGCATTAAAAGGAAATTGAAAAAAATCTCGTAATTTATAATTCCTGAAATTCAAAAAGTTGTAAATTGAATTTTTGGTTTTGTTTGATCGATGATTTTAACAGCGCTCCAAAGTATTTTTTGATAATTAAATAAAATGGTTGATGAATATCATTTTTCATTCACTGATATTATTATCTCTTAAAAAGTAAATTATATGACTTCAGTTAAGCTGATATGCCACAAATTTACAATGAATTAAATTCAATGAAGAAAAAAAAAAACTCTTTGACGAACAAAATGAACTTATATTACGGTGTTATTGTTGGGCGGTAATGTCCGTTTGATTTGCACAAAATTTCAGAATTTCCTTCATATTTATTGATATTAAATAATAACCTCATATATTTTTTTCTGGGTATGCCATTCAAAAAAAAAAAAAAAAAAAAGGAAAACAATAAAGCAGAATTGTTTGCATGATTTTTTAGTCTTTCGTACTAACAAACTGTCCAAATTCTATCATTTTATAATAATATTGTTATTCATCTAATTTAATAACAATCCTTGAATCAAGAATTTTAAATAAATTATTTTGATGAGTAAATAGATTTGAGTAATTAGTTACAAAGAAATTTAGATTGATTTTTTCCTTTTTTCTTTTTTAAGAATCAATGCAATTTTTTCTTTTACAATACGTCCTGTTCCATTTTTAAAACTGATTATGTATGACAAGTTATTATTGAGATAAGGGCATTTGATGTGCAAAATTGAAATGAAAATTTGTTGACAAATTTTTTTTCCTTTTTTATTGGTGAGAAAAAGGAATGGAATTATTTGTCATCGCACATTTAATTGTAAGAAAGAAAAAAAAAAGGGAAAGATTGTAATTGGTATTATCAGTAATTTTTCGTTGACACCTGTTATGATGATAATGGTTTAAAGATTATAAATGAAAGTTATATCTTTACAGTTAAGCTTGACAATTTTTAATATTTAATCAAAAAGAAAAGAAAAGTATTATATAAGATGTAAATTTTTGCTAATATAATCCCAAATTGTTACAAAATGTTTACCAAAAATAAAAAAAAATGAATAAAGCGGAAGGCATAGAAAATTGAAAGAAAGGGAAAAAAGTTTTTTATTAATATGACAATATTATAATATTTACAAAGTATTATAATGATGAGAAGCTTATAAGTAAAAGTTACATCTTTACATTCACATTTTAATATTTGACACTTAAACTATTACAAATGATTATTGTCAAAGGAAGAGAACAAAATTGGGTTTCTTCATACGATATGACAACATATTAATATCATTGTTATCAGTAATTTCTTTAGTATAAAAAGGCAATGAAGTAATAGCTAAAAAGTATTATCAAAAAAATGATAGCAATGAAAAGTTACTTCATCCTTCTTCATCTCATCATTTTATCATCGTTTTTTATAATCATTCAGCCTTTTTTGGTGATAAATGATACAAAGTAAGTACAAATGTAATTTCTACTACTTTTAAACAAAATAATCAGTTTACTAAATATAAGAATATTTTTTAATGATAAATCATTAAAAATTTTTTTTGCTTAAAGTTGTAATCTAAAAAAAGTTTAAGTTTTTAATAATTCATATAGTCTTAATTATTGCTTAAAATAGAAATAAGAAAGTGGTAGGTTGTAAATTTTTGACATTTTCAATTTTGTTCGTATATATATATATGTGTTTAAGGAAATGAAATTAAATTACATGATAAATAGTAAATTACATTCGAAACAAAAATAATATTTTCATTTTAGATATATCAAATTGATGGAAAAAAAATTAGGCAGTAAGCGTCTAATAAAACAATATGCTAGCTACAGACTTTATAAGCGAAAATATAGTAAGTTTAATAAATATAAAATTTTTAAAATTAGAAAATGTATTAATATTTTTCTTTTTCCTTAGAGGTTAATATTTCTCATATATTAATTAATCTTAACATTGCATATAATTAATATAATCTATTAAAGATAAGCGTGATGAAGAAATAAATTTGGAACATCGTCGATTTATGACATATCTTAAAAATGTGAAAGAAATTGAAAAACATAATGAACGTTATGAACGTAATGAAGAAACGTACGAATTAGCTATCAATCATTTGGCTGATATGGTAAATTTGATTACAAATATTAATTATTATTCCTTTATTATCATTTTTTAGCAATTAATATAGTATTAATTATCATTTGAAATAGAAAGAAGAATGAGATAGATTATGACTTTTTGAAATTTTTAATTTCATTCAAATATATTCGCATAAAGATCATTTTGTAAGCATTAAGTTATACATTATTTACTTATTATATCATCTAGTTTCATTCAATTATATCCATATATTTTTATTATAAAAAATTATTATATTATTATAGATATAATACAAGCAAGTTAAAAAGTATTAATTTAAGAGAGTAATACATAATGAGAGCATTAAATTTTAATTATGTATTTAATTTAAGAATAAATAGGAAAAAGGATAACTGATTTTTATATACTTCTTGCTTTATCCGTTTGTTTTGTAATTTTTTTTCACCTTCTTGAACAAAATTAATGTAATTTGTAAAATCTGAAGCTTCCTGAAGAATTTCGTAAACTTCACGGCTTTCAATCAAGAAAGATAAAACGAAATAACTTCAAAAATACTATTCGCATGAAAATTAATGGACCACTACCAAAAAGTATTGATTGGCGTACTTCAGGTGCTGTAACCAAAGTAAAAGATCAGGTACGTAGAATTTACTGATTAAAAAAATAATTAGCATTTTTTAACAAAGAAAAAAAAATGCCGACAATTCCTGGAAAAATCTTTTTTTAGCTTTTAAAGGCTAAAAAATGGAAGAAAAAAGTTGAGAAAAAAAAATATTACATTTCTCTTTTATTTATTTACTTATCTATTTATTTATTTAATTAAATTGTTTATTTATTTTTAAAGGGTTACTGTGGAAGCTGTTGGACATTTAGCGCAGTGGGCGCATTAGAAGGACAACACTTTTTACAAACAGGTAAACTGGTTGAACTTTCAATGCAAAATCTTCTCGACTGTAGCGATGACACTTACGGTAATTATGGATGCGATGGTGGTCTAATGATGGAAGTTAGTTTAATTTCTTCACTGTTATTTCATTTTATTCAAATATTTTTTAATTAGTCTTTTTTCTTCCAATGCTATTTTATTTTTTACATCAATTATAAAACAATTGAATGATGCTATTTGTGTAATTTTTAAAAAAAAAAGAAAAATTGGCTTTAAAGGAGTGTAATTAAAAAACGATAGATAAATTTTAAAAAATAATCCGTCACTCAAATGAGCATCATTTCCATACATTTTAATTATTATTGAAACTTTTATTTTAGGCTTTTGAATATGTAGTAAAAAATGATGGGATTGATACGGAGAAATCATATCCTTATCAGGGTTATCAAAATACCTGTCGTTACTCAAATTCAACCCGCGGTACAACAGCTTATGCCGGTAAATTATTACCGGAAGGTGATGAATTACAATTGCAAGCAGCGATTGCAACTATTGGACCAATATCTGTCGCCGTTGATGCAAAACTTATGAAATTTTACAGAAGAGGTAAGGAATATATGATAGAATATATCAGAAATATATATTTCAATTATTTCTTTTTTTTTTTCTCAAATAAAATTATATTTTAAGCACAAATTATGTAAACAAAATTATTTGTTAACAAATTATACGAATAAAAAAAAATACAAATAAAATTATGTAAGATTATATTTAAAATTATCATTTAGAAAAGAAAAGAAAAATCAAAAAAATTCCAACTAATTTGCATGTATGTATCATTCAAGATATTCCATATTAATAAGTTTTAGATTCAATCGTTTTAATTTATCATTCAGTTTAATTTTTGATAAAAGATTTATAACGATAAACAATTTAGGTATTTTTTCAACCTCGAAATGCACAACAAGAATGGACCATGCTTTACTTGCTGTTGGCTATGGAACGGAAGAAGTGAAACTTCAAAATGGAACCAAAAAATCAGTTGACTATTGGCTTCTTAAGAATAGGTCTGTTATTTGTGAAAAATAATGTTAATTGGCATTTAGTCAAATATATAATTCTTTTTTCTTATACGATTTTGGAAATTTCAGTTGGAGTAAACGTTGGGGAATCGGTGGATATCTTAAATTAGCTCGAAACCAGGAAAATATGTGCGGAATAGGATATTATGCCTGTTACCCATTAGTACCATCTGATATTAATTAATCAGCAAATTTAATTATGATAAATTGATGTGTGTTTTATATTCCGTATAAAATTATAAAATAAGGGCATTGCACTATTTTCTTTTTGTCTTTTTTAAAATAAGACATTAGATATGAAGATTTTTTGAATATCAATCAATTGTAATATTTTGAAGAAACCGTTTCTCTTGAAAATATTTAGAGACAAAAAAAGCATGCATGCATGCTTGCATGCATGAATTCGTGCAACATATATTTCTAACATAATTTTTTCTACAGAAATGAAAACAAAAAAAAAAAAGGAAAAAGAACATATACTATAAATGATTATACATTTCTTGTCAACAGTAATAGGAGTTGTAAAACTTTTCTTTCTTTCAGCGACTTCATGATAACAAAACATCAAAACAAATATTTGCAGTCATTTTAAAGTGAAATTTTGTAGTGAAATGAATAATCAGATATGATGTTCACCTTAAAGCAAGAAATATAACAAAAAAAAAAATTCTCTTTCAACTATTGCTATATGGGCAATAAAATGTGAAAGACTAGAATTACAAAATTTCATGTGTTATCATAATTGATAATAGTTGAAAAGTTTAGTTAATATCATATGATAAATTATTTCTATAAATTCAATTAATAATAAAATTTCAATTTTTGGAACAATGGCTACAACATTAATCCATTTCATTAATGATTTGTAATATTCACAATAAACAAATGGACAAGTTTTGCAAAGTAGCAACAAAAATAAAACGAAAATTGGCAATAATACACAAAGCAATTCAAATTTAAACTTGAAATCAAGTCAGAAATTTATTCCAAAAGAAAAATTTTAAAAACAAAAGGAGACTAAAACAATGCTATTTTTTGATCAATTTCATCGATCTGCAAATGTAAGTTTTCCAACTTCAAGAATTGCTACATCTGCCTTAATTATCCGGACGATAACTTCATTCAAAGCAAAGGAATATTTGGACAACATATTTTCCTGAAAAATTCATCATACTTTTCATTATTTAAGTAAATCAAAAAAAAAAAGTCAAATCTTTTAAAAGCATCATCCAAAAATCTCGCAGGTGAACATTTTAAAACGGAAAAAAGAAGTCGACAGAAAGACGGCTGCAAAATGTATTTATACTTTTTTAGGAAATTTGTTTTCAAACTTTAATATTCCATGCAATTTATTTAATCAATATAACGATATTGAAATAATTTTGCAGAATTTCTCCTTTGAAATAATGAATATACAGAAAAATGAGATGCAAAAAAGAAAAAAAAATTTTTTTGATATAAAGCGATTACTGAGGTTTGATGAATAAAAAAAAAATTGTTCAATTTAAATTTTATTGAACACCTTATGACAGTATTTTCTTAAACTACTTTTCTTTAAATGAATAAAGTTTAAATCAGCTTTGAACAATGGAATATAGTAGTAGACCTGAATTGATGTAGTCAAAGCCTTTTTCTGATCGCTAGAGATACCTTTTCTGTAGTTTCGAGCAGCTTTCAGCGGACTCTCTGGTACATCAACAAGAAAAAAATCCTGGAATGACTGTCATTTCAGGAAATGTCCTCAAATGTAATATTTGTTATGCAAAGAATTTCCAAAATTTTGGAAAATGAATAATTTTATATTAACTAGAATTTCTTCCTATGTGTTTACATGAATTCCTTGAAAACAGTAATTGGAGAACAACGTTTTAAGTAAATTTTGATTGTTAATTACGATCGCTTGCAATAAAAAATTAAGTCAAAATATTAATTATTACCAATAGTTGAATCGGCAACAGAAAATAATACTTTTTGCTTTGAACATCCTAAAGATAAATGACTCTGATATAAGTGCGATTCAGATTCCACTTTAAATTATTTCATTCAACTTGCTTGCTCAGATAGAAGGAACATGATTTGTTCTTGAAACTAATGTTAATTCAAAATTTCTACATTTCTTATGAAACAAAGATTTTTTCTGCCAAAAAAAGAAAACATGTAATTTTTTTAAAATTTTTCAATATATGTTGGGATAGTGATGTCAGCTTGAACGATAAACCTCATAAATTCATTTATCAATGATATGAAAGCGAACAATGTGTTAAAGGAATAAATACAAAAATGACGACTTCACATCAATTTTTTCAACTAAGCTATTATCACTTCTAAATAATATGCTCACAGTTCTTTCCTACTCTCTCTCTTTTTAAGATTTTTTTTCTTTAATTCAAATTCAAATGTCATACCCCAGTACGTGGTATCCCACTGAAAAGGAAGTAGCACTGAAGGAATAAATGAGAGTCAGTAATTCCACCTGAAATAAATGTTTAAAAGTTTCTGCACTTATTAGTAAACCAATTATATAGAGAGTACATGGAAACAGTACACGATAATAGTTATAAAATAGTAATTCATTTAAATTAGAACAATACTTTCAGAATTTTTTAACATATAGCTAAAATAAATATCAAAAATCAACGATAGCACTGGAAAAATTGGCGTACGTTTAAAGCAAACTGGACATAATGGCGTCATATCAAAATTTTTAGCTGATGTTGTGCACCATAGATTACATCTATGACATATCAATACAAACAATATCTTCGTCTTTTCATTGTACGAGAAAGTAACTTGCCAACTGAAAATTTTTTAAAAGATGAACCAAATATTTTTTCATATCTATGAAATTAATAAAATTACATAACCCTTTTAGTTACTCTTTAATATATTACACATTATTTTATTATTTAAATACGCAAAATGATATCTCTAGGAAAAAAAAAACATGCTTACGACAAAAAATTACAAATGATTATTTAATAAAATGCATTCAATACTCCCACTACACGATAAACATAATCAATTTTAACAATTATGCAGACATTTTTAAAAACCAGTTAATTGAATTAGTTCATTAAACTCAACAACAAATTTGATTAACGATATAATGAAAAGAAAATATAAAAAATAAGAAAAACAAAACAAAACAAACAGAACCTTGAAAACTTCAAAATTGTTCCAGGCAATAAATTGCACAACAAATTCCATGCATAATCATCACTTGAATTTTCATCCCCTATCACTTTTAAATCTTTGTTATCCGATTGTTTATCTTCGCCAGTTGTTTCTTGAACAGACTAAAATAGATTAAAATTGAAAAAAAAAATTGAGAAAAAAATTCATTAAGCATAAAATGTATGAAAAAAATGGCATAATTAAAAAATGAAAACAAATATCAGTGCAATAGATAGAATGCTATTGTAATCATTTTATAGAATCATCTGAGCTACATAGAATTTATATAGAGAGAAATGCAAAAGACGATTAGCACAACATAAGACAAAAAGTGAATTTCATCAACTATCGTATAACCTTCAACAAAAATTATTATTGGTATTCAAAATTTCGGTGCCGTATAATTCTGAATGTGAAAGAGATGAAAAACATTGAAGAAGGATAAGAAACAATATCATAGTGTTTATACTCTTACAATGATTTTATATATACCACTTACATTTGTTAGCTTCGAAATTATTCCGTCGTCGTATACTCCCTCTATATATGTCAGCAAGAAATTCTTAAGTATGGTATTCCGTTGGTTACGTGATAACTTCGTGAAATTTACGAAGAGATCTTCAAAACATTTTAATTAATGCTTTTTAGCACTAATATTTGTGATTTAAATGGTTTCAAACTATTAAGGGACAAGTTAAAAAAAAAAAAGTAATTAACAATTCGATTAAGTTCCAACAGTTTGCTACAATACGAAATGGAGTGCGTCATAACCGAAAGAATAAAGTTTATTTCGATAATTTGTTATTTAGTTTTCAATCAACCAATACACTATGCTATTCCATTATCAGTTCTAATAATTGAAAAGGTGATAGCATCACGCATGCTAATAAAATTCATTTCATATGTGTTAAATACAATGGAACCTATTAATCCAAGTTAAGTAGAAATGAAAAAAAAAATTGTTAACTATTATTAAAAATAAATAACTATTTACCTTTATTATATCTAAAAAGACGTTTAAGAGTTTGTTGAACAATGAATTGCACTGCCGCCGTTGCTAAATGAAACGGTCGCTGAAGTTGCGCATTCTTATTCTCTTTTTTTTTGCAAGCATAAGCATAAATCCATGCTAAATGTAAAGCGTGAATTTGTCGCATTCGTTCTCCAGCCCAATATTTCCACATTTCTCTTTGTTCATTCTCAAAATCATTCAATTCGTCAAATGATGGTGTTCGAATGACTTGCTAAAAACTTTTGTTTCTAAAAAATCAATTAATAAAAATAATGGTAGCAATAATTACTGACAATAATAGTAATAATAACAATAATAGCAGTAATAACAACAATAATAATAAAAACAATAATAGTAGTAAAAGAAATTGAAATGCCAACATTGAAATAACTTTTCATAATTTGAAATTGAAATCAAGACTTATATTAATTTGAACCTGAAAAATTAAATGAAAAATACCCTAATTACATATAAGACATAAAAATAAATTTAGTAAACGGCAAGAATTACCTGTAAGCTCGTATATGGATGTTGTTCTATGTCTTCGACATTTCTTCTATCTTCAGTACCAATTTGTGTATTGAAGTCATCAATATTACTAAAAATTGCTTTGCCGTTACATAGAAAAAATCTTCATTAAATATTTACCATATTTTTCGCTAATGTAGAAATATAGCTCAAAAAGAATTTCTTTTTTGAACTTTACTTAAAAGAAGAGAAAAAAAATCGTTAAATTGAACTGATTAACACTACAAAGGAGCTAACAGTCTTAGACATATTTACAAGACAAATTTCTAAGTTTGATAATAAGCAATTAACCAACCGTAAAAGGTCACGCTTCAATTTGCTATTAGCGTCAAGAATGACAATTGACCTATTGTAATGTTGACCACCATTATGCATTACTAGAGTAACATTATCCTTTGAGTAGTATAAATGAGTGTTGATAAGCAGTAGGACATCACCACACTATCAATATGCAACAATAAAAAAGTAGAAAATTATTTGTCAAAATTTCAATTTTCATAAAAAAAAAAAATTATCACCGAATGAACATTACAAGTATACTTCATTATCTGCTCATAAACAAAATTCTCTCGGTATAAATTTAAGAAAAAACTTTTGTGATTACTTAAGCAACAACACATCAAAGACTTTATAACTAAAGTTAATCATATGAAGATAGTGAAAAAAAAAGGTGATTAATAATTTAAGGTGAAACCAATCTACTTATTATTTTGTTTTGTTTATTCGTTGAAATCATGCATAAATAAACACTTTAATTTGTTACCTTTACACTATTTCGAGCGAAATCAGCATGCTTTTCATATAACACTATATCACAACAATAGTCTATCGGTATCATTTCCATTTTTTCATCTTGATATATGACTTCGGTAATCACATCATCATTAAACATAAATATTCTCCTTCAATCATTTTAGTTTTATAACAACTTAACTATGCATATGATTGAATAATGTATGTAAACTAAAGTGGCAAGAATGATTGAATAATAATATATATAAATTAAAATTCTAACTTCATAATCGGATAGTAAAATTCAGTAATGTAACATTTGAATGATTCCCTATAGCAAATGTAACTATTATATTATTAACAAATACTATATATTTAAATATCTTAGTTTCCGTATTTCTATAAAAAATTTATCAATGGAATAATACTTTGATGGTAAAGTGGTATCCCAACAACGCAATATCACACAGTTTCGATCATCAATAAATAGAGATACTGCCTGAAAATAAACAATTTACCAAAAGATGTGTACGATTAAAATGTTTGCATTTTAATAAGAGATAAGATGGAGAAGAATAATGCAATATTTATATTCCTCTTGTCGTAAAAAACGATACATTTAAACTGCATTCAAATTCTAATACTTTTGACAAATGTCTGATAACTCATTGTCCAAATGCGAAAAACGCATTTATAAGTAATGTATGTCTAGATCATTTAAGCCATTATGCTAATTCCTTTTTCTCACACAATAAAAAACTCTTTGTTAGCAAACCCTTTGTTAACAAAACCCTTTATTAGCAATGTTTCACATCAGTTAAATGCCCTCTGCCAAATATCTGGTCAGTTCAGTTTCTGTATATAAACCAACCATCCTCCATTACAGTTATTCGTTCTACATTTTGGAGTGGTTTTTGATATCATTTTAATGTTTTATAATTATATTATATCTTTCGTTACTCGTTGTTATAATGTTGATTTGTTGGTTTAATTACCCAAGTTTGAGGCAAAATAAAATATCTGGAAGTCAATACATTCCACGACACCTCTCTTTATCATTCTTTTTTTTTTCCAGCGGTTTAAAGGATGAACAAAAGTTATTTTTAAATATTAAAACTGTCAGTAAAAATTACCTGGACGACAATATCACCATAACCACCCAAAACAAGCTCATTCAAGCGAAGAACGTTCACATTTTCAATTATTTCATTTATTTTCCCCTCATTGATATGTCCTAAATTTGAATTCAGCGGTGCTATTGGTACTGTCATCAGTTGGTTACTTACTGATAACATCCGCAACGAACTTATCTGAAACAAAGGCATCTCTATTTCTTTAGCTTCTCTATTGCTACCTTCAACAGTACATCGTTTGATTGACAGATTTAAATGTAATTCAAAATACTATTAAAATTTATATGATATTTTTACTTTCATAGATCAATTCAAAAGAGTCTTGGGTCTTGTCGAAGAAATCGAAATGTTTTTTTTTACAAATTATGTCGAAATAAAAAGGTACTTTTATACTGTGGAAATATCTTGGAATGACTAAATAACTTTAAGATATAGAAGTTTAAATTATAAAGATTACTTCATCCGGAGTATACCTTAATTAATTTTGATTTGATAATTAAGCTTATATTTAATAGTTAAATTGTTATAAACAACTATTCTTTCACATACTTCTCTCCGTTCAGTTAGCATCATCTGTCACACAAAAGAATTACGCTTTATTGTTTAGCTATATAAAGGGTCATCAGAATCATTCACAAAATGCTTCTTCTTCTTCTTCTTCTTGACCACTTCCAAAAATTAGTCCATTTGAATTTAGCTTATATCTTATCAAATCATTATCAAACAGTAGTCTCAATTAATTCCACAATTTTTCTCAATGAAAACAAACTAATAATCGGTTCTATTCTTAATCTTTAAGAAATGTCTTATAATGTCAATTAAAACATTTACCAAATATTTCTTTGCGCTGAACAACAGTGATAAGCAGTATTTTAAAATTATCAAACCAACCATCTCTTCGTAATTTGATACTAAAGTAAACGTTGCTGATGACTGATAGACAGGAGCAAAAGTATCGCCAAGCTCTCCACTGAAGAGAAGAACAGCAAAACCGGTCACTTTAAGCTTTCCATAGACAACTAACTTTCCATCTGTATTTTTTTTGATCTGAATAGTGAGATTTAAAGATAATGAGCACTGATAAAATTCTCTAATGATAACTAGTTCACATCAGAAATACCATTAGCACTATTTATCCTTTTAGTACCTAATATTGATTCAATAATAGCATAATTGCAGAGAACTAAGTATTTCCGAGAAAGTATTAAACAATGACAATTGAAAATAAAAATATAAAATAAACATTGCAAAACTATCCCACTTTAAAAGTTATGGAAACAGAATTACGGAGAAATAAGGAATTAAAAAATATGAATAAGGATCAAAAACAATATCAAGAAATAAAATATCCCAAAGTTAATTTAATTCATATTAATTAATAAGATCGATAAATGCAGCACTTTTGCACGATGCATTCGAATGATTTGACCATTTTGTATCTGATCCGAGAAACCTTCCACTGAATCACTATAAATGACACAAGTTGTACTGATATCCGAGCTACGATCACGTAATTCCAATTGCGTAATAACAGGAGCTGAACGAATAAAAATAAAAATTCTTAATTAATTTTCAGCAATAAAACTATTGTAATTACAACAAATAATTTAATTATAACTATAATTGCAAAGCTTTTTTCTTTTTTTTTGTCTTACACATTTCAAAATAAATAATGAAAATATAAACGATCTTACTATCTTCTGACGCGCTTGTTGGTTGTGAACGTATTTTCACATCGACTATAAGTGCATATATGTTAACCTACAACAAACAGTTTAAATATTTCTTTCTTCAACTATTAAAACAATAAAGACTTTTAAATATATCCCTTTAAACTTATATATTTCGTTTTCACTTAAATTCATATATTCATTTAAATTTATATGTTCACTTTTATTTATATAATTACTAACAAATACTTTTGTTCCTTATCATACAATTTATGTTATATTTCAGATAAAAGTCTCTGATATGTTCAATTATAACAGCTTAACAATCAACCATTGATCGACCGCATAAATAAAACAATTTCTGGATTACTTTACAACACATTAGAAATTCTTTTAGACATAAAATTCTTCATTCTTCTTTTTTGGTCGAACAATAAATGAAAATGTATTTATAAGCATTCTTTTATCACCAATCACTTATCACTTTATTTTCCTATTAATCATTTGACTATTTCTGCATCAAGCATTGTTAAAAATTATGTCGTCATAAAATTTACCTTGAAATTTTCGTTAGTTGTATCTGATAATTCATCCAACTCCGCAAGTGAAACATACTTGTATTGTTTCATGTTTGTAAAGACCTAAAAAAAATTAAGGCATAATTTTCTACTCATTTAATTCTTTCTTTCTTTTCTTTTAAGGAATAAAAGAAAAAAAGAAAGAGAAAAATTATATGACCGGAAAATGACTATTTCCCATACTACATCCATCTGGAGAATAAATTCTCCCGCCATATTCCACACATCATTTTCGAATTTTGCTTCAAATTATTTACCGGAAAACTACTCACCTGCTTGCTCAATGACTTACTTTCAAAGTTTAGTTGCTACTAAAAAAAAATGTAATAGCTATCTACAAATAGTTGTGATATCGAAACCAAATCCAAGAGTAACTAACTAGCGTAACTGGTATATTTAAGAGTAATTTAACTAGCATATTTGACAATATCCAAAACTATCACCCTTTCCATATATAGTAAAATGCTAAATGGAATGACCAATCTAGCAATCAAAATCAATTTTCAAATCTCATAATAATTTATCATCGACTACAAATTTTGCTAAGATTGCTAGAATTTTTTTAAAACTTACTTAAGGAAAGGAAACAGTAACTGGCATAAAACAATAAGTAAAACATGCGAAATCACTCAGAATACACTACATACATGAACAATTTATACTAATTCTTTTAACATCATATGGATATGAAGCACACTTGCATAAATTAAAATATCACACGTTATCATCACAGATCAATAAGTGTACAATAAGGAAGACAGACTTTCAGCATTATCATTACTTATAAATAACCGTTTGAAGTAAATCACTGTGGATATTTTCTGTTATTCATACTGTTGCATCTGCTTAATTAATTGTAGATCTTCAGGCGAAGGCTTATAAATTCTTCCAATAATTACACGATCTTTAAATGTCTAAAAAGTTCCAATTAAATAAGGAAAAGCAAAAATAATTCTAATAAACAGATTATAGCCAACATAAAATTTAACTAACAGAAAATTTGAGTTACTGAATTCGAAATTTATTTATAATTTGAAATGACTAAACCATATTTCATATTGCATTCACACAGTGAAATAAGTTAACTAGAATATTCGATACACTTGTCTGATAATGACTATTCTAATTTCGATAATGTATCTAGTACTACTTTAATTATTTCGTATCGTATCATCAAATAGTTGTCAGGAGGAAAGATATCACAATTAAGCAATTATGATCATAGACATTAGTTTTCAAAGTAACAAAAAAACAAAAAAAAAAAAAAAATTAGTTTCCAAAGTAACCTTTGCTAGTAAGAGATAATTTGCAAATATAAGTAGTACGAGAGTAACAATATGTTGCCAATCTGTTGTCAGTATCAGCATCCAAAATTGGATACCAATTAGAATAACTTGAAAAATTACCATTGTACTAGTCAAAGTAATCGGATCGCCACCAATTCGCTGAATATAGAAAGAAATTACAAACTTAGATTTTTAATCTATATCATTTAACAATTTGATAGTAAAATAATTTTTATACACGATCCATCTTATAAATGCTCCGGTAATAACATCTCAAAAAGTTCTATGATATTAAAGAAATTAAAGTACTCTATTTTTAACATTTGTTAGTGATTGAAACTATTTGATCATTGCTATCTGCTGCACAGACAAAAGTTAATTAACAAAGCTTCTACTATACAACTTCTGCATATACAACTGAGATATTATATCGTAAGAACATGACAAAATAAATTTTACCAGAAGTTATTTCAATATTCAAATTAACTTTTTTTTGCTTAGCAAAATAAACTCACATAAAAGCGAGAATGATCCGAATCTCCAGGTTCAGCAGCTACACCTAATGTACCAATTTTAGAAACAGCTTTGTAAAGCTGTCCATGATGACGAACAATAGAACCATGTGCATAAAGATCATCATTCTCAGACCAACTGCAAACATTAACCCTAAAGATTTAATTGCTATAATACCATTTTAAAAACTTTCTTGAAATATTTAATTTTGTTCCTATTTTTTTTCTACTCCAAAAGAAACTTTCTTTTTAAATATTATTACATTAAATTTTACTACCATAAAGTGAAAAAAGAAGAAATAAACAATTTTATTTAAAGTCTGCAATGAATTGCTGAAAATTTGGAAGCTACTAATTAATCAATCATCAATCATTATAAAAAAAACCCTCTAATAATAATAATATATTTATCAATCAATTCTACTTTAAAAACATTTCATTTAATTTATTTACTAATTAGGAACTGATTAATTCTTTTGAATTTAATGATTAGAATAAAAAAAACTAAATAAATTACAAACTTACTCTGCAGATGCAGCATTTGTTGTGGTAGAAATCGTTGTTGATGTCAAACTACCATCGCCACCACCAATAACACCACTACTACTACTACTATTGCTACTACTATTACTACTGCTACAATTAATTCCATTAATATTATTACTATTATAGTAACAATTACTATTACTATTAATTGTAGCTATCGTTAATCGATCTAATCGTTCCCATTTTCCAAGATGTGCTGCACAACGATGTATTAAATCGCAGTATTGTAATGGTAGTAAATAGGTTGCATAAAGTGAAAAAGATGTTAAAAATACAACACAAAATAATTCCATAATCCAAAAAATATCAATATACATTAGTTGTGGTAAACCAGATGGTGATCGTTGCTAAAATTATTGCAATTTGAAAATCTATCAAATTGTAATTTTCAATTGAGAATTTCAAAAATTAATAAGAAATAAAAGTATAAAAAGTTACAAACATTATAAATTACCAATTATTAATTTCATGCTTTTTGTTTAAAAAAAAAAAAGATATATACCATTATCAACCAATTATTTTTAAAAAGACTATTCTTGAGAAAACAAATCAGTATAAATCTATAAATGAAAAAAAAAAATGGACAATAACAAAATTTTACAGGTGTAAATACACATGGAATAAAAATTGAAAGATATGCCGTTGTTAAGCCAGAAAAGAAGCAATGTTTGATCCGTAGACCAAAATCTTTCATCAAAACAGAAACTTCTTCACGTATTTGTACTGAAAATTTTATAAGTCATTTTATTATTATTTTTTTTCTTGAAGAAAGAAACAAATGAAATTCATAACTTTTATAAATGACATGGAAAAAGAAAAAAAAAATCATTACATACATGGATTAGTGCTACACATATGCACAACACTATCAACATCAATAAGCACTGGTGGAGGCATAATATTACGATAGGTAGCATTTACTTTCGATATTTCTGATAATGACTGTCCATTAAGAATAAACCATAACTTTGTAACACAACAACGTATTTTATATGATATGGTATCATGGAATAAATAAACGAAGAAAAGAATCCTAGAAATTAATTTGTAATTGAAGATTAAACTGCAAATTATAATACGAATCAAATTAGCTGTTGATATTGGCTGATACTATGGATGACAAAAAAAACAAAAAAAAAATTTAAAACTACCATTGTTTATTTTATTTTATTTTTTTAATAAACTACATTCAAAAAGTGAAAATGCAATTTAAATTTCATTTGAGATGAAATTTATACTTCTAATTGGAATAAAGAGAAAATCATCTCAATATTTCTATGCAAACTGTTAAGAAGGATGTTCAAAAATATTGAAGCATTAAATATATTCACTTTCGTTTAATATTCATTTCCAAAAATTAAAATTGCCATATTATTTATAATTTTTGCTAATGCTTTTTATTTATCTAATTCTTCCCATTCAAATTATTTTTTGCTATCTATTGATAATTTCTATCAACTCACTTTTTAAAAAAGTATATTTCAATTTTAATGACAAACTTACGGATGTCCAAAGTACAGCAATGATTTGAAGGGGAAATCAAAATAAACACGTGAAAAACTGAATAAAAATGATGTAGCAACCATTGTAAACATTGGTGTTTTAACAGCCGCCCACTCAATGATATCCCATAACAAACACTGAGTTTTTGATGCATCTTGTCGAGCATTTGATGCTAATTCGGTTATCTAAACCAAGATTTTATTAAATTAAGTTTAAAAAAACTTATAATTCATTATTTTTATTTCAAAAATTATTAAAGCAAAAGGAAAAAAAGAAAAGAAACAAACAAACAAAGTCATTTGTATTTACCGTTTTCCAAAAGCATTTTGTCACTCGTACACCAAGTAAAAGACCAACACATGATAGCAGATATGGATTAATTAAATGAAATTTCTGAAATAAATAAAATTAAAAGTTAAAAAAAAAGAATTAATCAAGCAATATGCTCACACTTTGTATTTTTTCTGTATCATAAATATAATTAGCAATAAGCAACAAGTTTAATTAATTATTAGGAATAAACAAAACAAGTAATAAAACATTTATAAAAAAGTTACCAATGAATAATGCCAATATGATTTTGGTAACCACCACATTGTCTTGTACAAATTGAGATATTGTAAGAAGAGTGCTAATACGGAATAAAGGAATAGCGTACATTCAAAGAATAATTCACCTTGTCCTTGAGGCATTTCTGGCCAAATTGGATGAATTTGGGCTCTACCATATACTTCATTTCTGCAAATGAATTCTTATTATTTACTTCTATTTAAATAGATAAAAAGTTATTATTACTGATAATAATTAACGAGAACTTGAAAAACTTTACGGTAAACAAACTGTAGAAATTTAATTCATATTTTGTTTACTTATAAACTGTAATGCAAATCTAATTATAATTTTAGTACTAGTGGTATTAGCTTCTTTCTAAAAACTTTTATTATCAAAGATGAATCTAGCTAAAATTCTCCATCAATTCATATTCTCTTACAAAGCTAAGTTATCTAGCATATCTCGTAAAATTTACCAAAGATCACTTTTAATTTCTCTTAGACAAATTATTCTCTAATTTATTTAACTGAACGTTTAAATTAAATGAAAATAGTCCATACCTTTTTCTAGCATCGACGCGTGCAAGAGTATTAGGCGTAGATGACGTAGCAGAAGCAAAAGATCTATTAGCGTGGTGACGATTACGTAATGTTGAACGACCAACCATATTTCTTAGTTCGTCAAAATTTCATTAAACTTTTTCAAATATCTTTCTTCCTTCAATACGAATTCATTCTTTTAACAATAATGGCACTATTCTGATGAAAATCTTAATAAATGTTGTCATCTTCAATATATTCAAATATTGGAATTGTAAAATCAATAATTTTAATAAAATATCAAAAATTTTTGAATTGAAATGAAATGCAAAAAATATTAATTCGAGAATTACCAGAAAATCTATGAGCTAGTACCACGCATTTTTCAGCATTTTTTTACATATTTTTTTTCAGCACTTTTTACATATCTTTTCACGAATAAAAAAATATGAAATATAATTAACGTATATGTACGCTGAACACTTCTCTTTCCTTCAATCTGTTAAATTTAAATATTATAAAACTTAGCAACATAACAAAAGAAAATTTCACGTAGGTATGAAACCCATTCACGTTTCTCTGTGAAACATTAAAGTTTGTCCCACCGAAAACAAAATTTAAATTTCGTCCGAGAGAAAATTTTAGATGTTTAAATAAGGTAGCAAAGATTTCCACTGCTAGCATCTTTGATGTAAAATGTAGAAATGTACAAGAATTTATGGATATATCTTATTCCATGCAAATTGTCAAAAATTCCAACTTTTTTTCGCAATAATGTTTTTTCTTTTTTTTGTTTCTTTGTTGAGTCTTTATTTTAATGGTATAATTTTTATAAATTGCTTTAACAATTTTAATTTCAGACGAAGAAAAAACAAATCACGTAATCATAAACTTAATTTGATAAAAAATTATCAAATTTTTTTCTATTCTTTTTTTTGCAAAAAAAGTTTACTACGAGAATCCCTACACAAATGACAACAAATTTATACATATGTCACAATTGCGCACAAAAATGATGCGGAAAAAGGAAGCTTCCAATCATATGCACAGATCATAAATTTCCAAAAAAAAAAAAAAAAAAATTATACATACGAAACGTTCAAAGTAATATCATGAAAGAAACATTTTTTTTTTTTGCTGAAAGTTCCTAAAAAAAAAAAACTGAAATTAAGAAAAATCGATGAGTAAATGAAATCGACGTAGCATATACATAAACGATAATAATATAGTAAAATTGAGCGCATTAAAAAATTTTCGAATTTCTTTTGTTTTTTATTTTTCCTAATCAACGCAAAAGATATTTATCAAAAAGTTAAAATTAAAAAAAAAATTCCAATGAAAAAATAAAGGGTGAGAAATTTCATCCTTTCAAATAAGTAAAAATTTAATATATACAAAATTAAATGATTGTTAATTTTAAGAATTCAAAATAGCTTAACAATCAAAATTGAAAACCACAATATTTTTTATACTTATTTTTTAACATAATTTATTCCTTAGGAAATAATTTGGAATTTTATGAAATTAATATTGATAATAAAATGAAAACATGATAATAAAATGAAATATCATATCATATTGCAATCACAGGAATTGCAACAATTGTAATTAGAAGAATTAGAAAAGTAGTCAAAATTATAATATTACACAAATTATCTCAAAAATTAACACTTTAATATTATATTTCCTGAATAATATAACCTAAATGAAATTCAAATATTATCGATCACTGATACCATTATCGCTTTCATAATGATAAAATCAGTTTAGAATGACATGATATATCACATGTGATTGTTAAATATCTAATCAATAAATGATGCATATTTTCAAAAAAGTATAAGTAATATAATAAACATGGAAATATTCTTATTAAGCGTGTAAACAATAGAGGCAGAAAACAGAGACAACTGAAAAAAATATTTCTGTGCAAATTTTGAAAGAAATTGAATTAAAAAAGAATAAATCTAAATTAAAAGTTAATTTTTCAAATATTCATGATGAAACAAATAATTGCTAGTAGCTATTTATCCCAAAAATTACTTTCAACCATTTATTCTAAATCATTTTTTGCACAACTATATGTTATCTAAAATTAATCAAATATTCTTCGTTTATCTTTCTATGCAATAACCTCATCACTTCACAAATTTCAAAGCGAATTCAATTTCAAACTGAAATTTCCAGTATTTTATAAGTCGTACTAATATTTGATTTCACATTTCTCCTCGTAATTTACATTAAAATGTTTAAAAGAATTCAAATCTAAATATTAACAATAATTCGAAGTCTATTAAGAATAGTAAAATTTATGTAATTAAAAGAATCTTTTTTATATTACAGAAGAATAATTTTTGAGGTTGAAACCAATGAAAGAGGGAAAAGAAAATAGCAATTTTGTAGTAGAAACTAATGTGATATAGACTGGAAGTAAATCAGGAGGCAATATTATTATCATACAATTTTTTTAGGTAATATATCAATAAATGAGCAATGTAAAATTATATAAACATTATTTCACAAAACTGATATGCAGAATTTTATATTATTCCTAATGTAATATTTTTATTCAAATTCTAAATTCATTGAAATTTTTTCCAAAACAAAAAAATCAATTTTTGAGAATAAATCATTTGAAAATTTCTATCCTTAAAATATTCATTTTCCCACCCAAAACTTTTTATTTTTTTAAAACAAATAAAAAATGCAGAAAGATTTATCTCCTGAAAAATTTTCTCGACATAATATAAATAAATAAAAATAACGCTTACTTATACTTTATCGCCTTTGTTCCTAATTCTATATTTGGTTTAAATTTAATTTCGAATTATCATATATATCAGCTACATATTATAAGCAACATAAATAGGATCAAGCATATCTTTTAGGAAAGCATCCCGTAAATGCATCCGTTGCTTTTCACCTCGACTATTTATAGGTACCACGCCGGGATCAACAATTACCACAACACCAACAATCAAATAATGCTCTTCTAATACAGCAGATGTGATAGCTGGTACTAAATCTAGTGCTTCCGATTCAGCACTTTCCGTTTCAGCAACCACAACCAAAAGATGTGTCCATGTAAATACCGCACTGAAAATTTAATTATATTTATTATAATCAAAAAATAAATAATAAACTGATAATTTGAATATTTTAAAATTATTCTCCCAAAACATGCTGCTCAAGTTTAAATTAACAATTAATAAAAAACCATTTCCATCTCTTTCATAATAAAATTATCAATATTAAAAAAGACTATGATTGATTTATAACAAACTAATTTGTTTCGTCATTGTGTTAAAGTCGTTAGAGGTTATCATCAAGCTTATTATTACATATCTCTTTTCGCTTCCGTTTTCCTTTCAGCATCGATATATAGTATATGATGAGAAGGAAAATGACGCATTTTGAAGTGTTGAGATTAAAAATTTTTAAATATAATGAGAACCAGCACTCATACTACTGCTATTAATAGTTTATATATATTTGAAGTAGTATGTGCAATTATATTTCAAATCTTAAATAAATATATTTAATGCACAGCATTTAAAGAATAAAAGTATTTATTATTTAAATTTATTGCCAAACTTCACAAGTTGCTCAAAAACCAGCACTAACTAACCATTCAGAAATTTTCCGATGCGCTCTTATTACAGTTGCTTCAATATCCACCGGATGGTATCTCATTCCACGTAACATCAATGCTTCATCCAATGCACCAACGACAAACACTGCATCATGTAACTCTGTAATAACACAACTTATATTTTTTATAATAAACTACGATCAAAATAAGTTTATGACTTTTAGTAAAATGAAGCTAAGTTAGGTGGCTCCAAGTGTCATAAAGGTTTCAAAAGGATAACATTTGACAGCCAGACTAAGTCCAGAAATCGCTTAGTTTTTGTAAAAAATTTCAACAAAAGTCATTTTTTCGTAAAATTTTTTAAAATAACAAATTTTTCTAATTAAAAATTTACCAAAACGAAGCTAAATTTTCGAAAAGATACGAACACTCTAACATATCAGTGAAATTTACAATTATTAAAAAGTAATGTATAGAAAAAAAACCTCCATCAGCTGTTATAGATTGTGTTCGTCGAAGAAAGCCCAAATAACCCGTACGTGCAAAACGTTTAAGAGTATCACCAGTTGACAGTCTAAAAATGAATTTATGATAATAAAAAGTAGCTTCATATATTGAAATAGCACATTAAATATCAGTCAGCAAAGTTATGTAAGTTTGATCGATATAAAAAAAAACATAAAAAGTGTCTAACAACTGAAAACAACGAGAAAGCATTTTCTTCCATTACTTCTGCTAATGTATCACGCATTAACCGATAAATTTGTTGCTAACTAAAAACTGTTGCCTAAAGTTGAAATAATTTCGAGTATAAAAGTACAAAAAGATAATAATATTATTCAAAATAAAATAAAATGGCAACAAACTCATAACTACTAATTAATTAAGCAGAATTTTCAATGTCAAAATATTCATTTGATACAATTAAAACAAGTTACACTAATACAAATAATACATACAATTTCAAAACAAGCCAACTAATAAATAATGAAACAGAAATAAAATGACAATAAAGCCGACGATATAAATAGTCAGATTAATGTGTACTAGTTAATAACTATTAATGTTTATCCATACAAATATTACCTTGCATTAAAGTGATCAATATGTAACGATGCTTCTTCACCGTACAACGTGAAATAACCAACTGCATTATGTGAACATGCAACCCAAATTTCACCCAAATGTGAATCAGCACACTGACCTCTAGTTTCCGGATTTGCAATGACCACTTCAACACCAGGTAACAACTAAAATTATTTCATTTTAACTACCATAACGGAGTATTTTTTATAACCTGAAAAATAAACGACCGGAATGCAAATAAATGTCAAGTTTTAAAAATATATCTTTCAAATAATGAATACTTTTCCGCTTTCCATTAGTGCTATGCTGTGTGGTGCACCTTTTTCAACAAGCGTTACTCGATCATTACGTAGTGCTCGTGCATCAACGTATACCGTTGCCGGATCCGGACTTGCTGCTCCTTGCATACAAATTGCAGTGTTAACCTATAGCATCAATTTATATACAAAC